GTGAGCTCGCTAGGGTGCTTCAGAAGAAGCACGTCACAAAGCAAGGCAAGGCGGTCAGGGAGGCTAGTGGCGACAAAATAGATAGTAATTGCCATGGGGGGGGGGAGGAGTGCAAGCTGTGCGTCAGTGCAGGCAGCGCGGTAGCTAGAATCGAGCTAGCGGAGGTGAGCAATCAAGTCAGCAGTGCGCTCAAACAAGGCGAGGTCAGGAAACAGGAACAGGAGGAACAGGCGACCAAGAGAGACAGTGGTGGGAGTAGTGTAGCGCGCCATGATCGCAGTTAGGAACTCACTAGCCGTGCGAACCTGAGTGGGGTGGGCCTCCTCAGACTCACGGAGGAGGCTGCTGAGGGCGATGCAGGCCGCACCGTCACGCGACTTCCACGCTATCAGGTCAGCACGCTGGCAGGCATAACGGTCTCTATCAGCAGTGTTGGGGTCAGTGCCTAAAGGTGAAGGGTCATCGGGCTTAGGAAGGTCGCCGGAAGCGAGCGCCCATAGAGACTCATCGGCCTGAACCTGAATCTCTAAAAGACAGCGCGCACGCAAGAGCCAGACCGAGAACTCGAGCGGCCTACCCTTGGCGTCAAAGCGCAGGACCCTAAGGGTCGCTATAGCAAAAGCAAAGAGGTGGGAAGTGTTGCTGCTGGAACCCTAATCACTGAGAGCGACTCAGTAGGGCACTACGGGACATAGGGTAGGGCGCTACGGGACACATAGTATGGTGCAACACTGCTGGATTAGGAGGGTGCAGCGCCACGGGCAGGGGTAGCGCGACCGACGGGCAGCGCGACGCGACGCGACGGGACGGGACGGACTGCGCGACGCGGACGGGCAGCGAAACGCGGACGAACGGGATGGGACGGACGGGCAGCGCGACGTGGACGGACGGGACGGGACGAACGGCGCGACACGGACGGGTAGCACAACGCGGACGGGTAGCGCAACGCGGACGGGACAGGACGGGACTGACGGCGCGACGCGGACGGACGAGACGGGATTGACGGCGCGACGCGGACAGGCAGCGTGACGCGGACGGACAGCGCGATGCGGCAAGATGGTTGGAGCGACGTAACGGCAGGCACAGCGGGTGCTAGGGCACGAGAGCGACGTAACGGCAGACGCAGCACACGCTAGGGCACGAGAGCGACGTAACGGCAGACGCAGCGGTCGCTAGGGCACGAGAACGACGTAACGGCATGCACAGTGGGCGCTAGGGGACAGTACGAGCGTAACAGGCACTAACATATGGGACAGTCTCGGGCGCTACGGACGTGAACGAGAGGAACGGGATCCCACAGGATCCTAACCTAGGTGATACCATGTCAAGAATGTAAGTGTTGGTTTGATTAAGGTTGGTTGGGGTACATCAACCTAACCCTAACAGTTGTACCCTCTATAACACGCATATTAAGGCTACAACATTTGACAGTGTCTTGTAATGCCGGATAGTAGATAACCCCTGTCTACTATTCAACACTGTCTACTATATGGGCGATGACGGTACGAAATTCATATCGGTGGGTTCTCGTTAGTGAATCCTGCATTAGTCTGATAGTAGTTTCTTATCTCAGATGATCAGAGTTATACTTCTTCTGGTTCCTGAGAAATCATGTATCCATTTCTTAGACTAAGAAAAAAAATCATGGGGAAAACGAAAAGGCATAATATTTTTCTTTGATTTCTTTCTTTCCTTCATTTCATTTACAAAATCCAGCCCTTCCTTCGCTGCTTTGCGACTATATCGCCTGTAAGTGTGTCGTTGATATTTACGACATTTCTTTACTACATTTCTGGCAGTGAAGGGTTTTCCCACATTCAGTCGATTCCATCATTACAGAGGCGTCACTTTCGGCTTTTTGCTGCTTGACCTGCACCCAACCTCGAGTTCCCGAGGCTCCAGATGATATGTGTTTTCCTGCTTTTTTTTTTCACGCGTTATTCAGTGCATCGTCAGTCTATATTGTCGGAGCCTCGTTATTCGTTATTCCGCGCAAATCTGTTTTACAACTCATAACAGTATTCATACATGCTTCCCGACTAGTTCGCCTAAATTTGGTTTCTGGATTGTATCGAAGTGGGAAAACAAGTGCTGGAGGAATCGTCAAGTGCATTTTGGCGACTGTCCCGTGTAACCAAGTCACATCGTCGGAGATCTATCCATACCAGTCAACATGGGGAGAAATGCAATGTTCGCGAATCAGGGTCACAAAACGAGACATTGGCGGAATTCGAATTCTACTAGTCAAGCACTTTTCGCGAGCCTGCCCTGGCAATAATGCAATTCGCCGCAAGTTCTTGGCTGCTATTGGCGCCCAAGAGGTACCGCGTTCCAGTATCGCGTTCGGACAAATCAAATGTACTTCGATACCACCGTCACATTCGGAATTGGCTTCCCCTCAGTGCCTCCTTCACGCTCCCTTCCCGCTCCCATTCTCGTCCCTCCCTCAGCTATCGTGGCGGCGATAGCTCCTTACATATTTCTCCCCTACCCTGTGTTCACCATACCTCGCCATTCCACACAAATTCCTCTCCTTCTCGCTCTCTCACACTCAAACAACTAGAAGTAGGACGCGCCATTCCACACGAATTCCTCTCCTTCTCGAGACTTATTCAGGATCCTGAAACCCGCCGCCGCTTCCGTGGTCCACCGTCGGGCTAGCCTACTGCGGACTTCAACACGTGGTCACATCGGTGCAGCGTGCCGCAGCCTCAGCTTCCCTCGCCAGTCCCGTATCTCGTCGCCATGGCGCCGCGCCGCGCGTCTCGTCCCGCGCTTCAAGCCGGCCTCGCCGCAATCCTCGCGGCTGCCGCCCTCATTGCCGCAGTCTTTCTCCTCCATTCCGCAGAAGCCAGCGCCTCTGTCGTGTACGACTCCGTGGTCGCATTCAAAGGCCCAATGAGAACAACGGATAACGCCAGCCTGATTTTCTACAACGCGTTGTGCGACGACGTGGATCGCAGCGTGTTCGCGAATGGGAGTAAAGTCAGCGCGGAGATTGCGTGGGACGGTTTCGAGCGCGCGGACCACAAGTGCAGAAGCATCTCCTTCCACTCCGCGCCGGGCTGCGCGGGACGCCCCTACATGACGTACCTGCGCCCTCCGTGGAACATCACTCACGTTCCCACCACGTGGTGAGCCCACACCTCGAATCTTCCTTCTCAACGGTTCAATTCAGTCCGTTCAGACTTATCAGTTTAATTCATTCGATTCTGTTGCTTGGGGAGCTGAATATAGGCTTGTATCAGATCTCATCGCTTCTTCTGCTCCCTCGTAATATTCCCTGCCGCCACCATGGCTTCTTTTGCTTTCAGGATGCTCTCTGCCGCCGACTTGCCAGCGTCAGCGAGATGCGAAGAGGGTAAGTTTCGAGATTGAATTGCAAGGTTTGACACGCCTGCCCATGGTAAGGGCATTTTTCGTGCGAAGGCCCGCCTGCTCTACTGCCTGCACTGCGCCTATGACTAGTCAGAGCTTGGTGCATGGTGCGGTGCGGCGTGGTGCGTTACGATGCGGTGTACGGAGTGTGCAATGTCCAGCTGGAAGGTCGACTTTGAGCTTCATTGGCATCCCACACGGCAACCCTCTCATGCATCAGCCACCACATTACTCTTTTCGTTGTGCTGCTGCGAATGATTTGCCTTGTCGTTTGCATGCGGCATTGTTCCCCCCGTGCCAGCGGCCAAGTGTCAAATCGACTCTGACGGGTCTGAACGGTTTGGATTGAACCATGAATGTAAGTCGCTGTCTCATTCTTCTCCTCCTGCACCTTCCCACTATTTTCATCCTCCCCCTTGCCTCTAAGAGTCCCCCATACTTGTCCTTTGGGCCGCTGCGCTGCCGGCTGCGGGTCCACTGCCAAGTGCAGGGTGAGGAGCCTCAAGGGCGAATCCTTGTGCCCTGTTTCTCTCGTCTTCGGCGTCGAGTTTTGAGACATCTCTATTCTTCCCACTTCTGTCCCTGTCTTCAGCTGCGAGGTGCATCGTGAGAAACCTCAAGGACGCCATTGAGCCACCTCAAAACTCTTTTCCTGTCCCTGCTCTCTGTCTCTGCGGACTCACCATGATTGCTCCAAAAGCTGCGATTCCGACTGTGGCTCATGAACCTTACCGTTGTCATTTTTCTCTTCCCTCCTTCCACCTCTGTCCGCCCCATGCTAAACGTAAAGGATGTGCTTCCATCTGCGTGTGAAAGGGCGAATCCGTGTGCCCTAGGGCTCTCGCCTTCGACATGAAGTTGTGAGACGTCTCAAAACTCCTTCCCACGTGTGTCCCTCCGCCCTGCCCTACGAAGGCCCCGTGCTCGCCCAGGCTGCGCTGCCGACTGCGGGTCCGCTGCCAAGTGCATCGTAAGGAACCGCAAAGGAAAGAATGCGTGTGTACTTGAGTCGACTCAAAAACCTTCCCAACTTTGTCCCTCCGCCCTGCCTCTACGAATGCCCCCATGCTCGTCCCAACAGGCTGCGCTGCTGACTGCGGGTCCGCTGCCAGGTGCATAGTGAGGAACAAGACAAACCAGTGTGTGTGCCCGGGGTCGCTTGTCTTCGACGTCAAGGCGAGGCGCTGCCTTGATGGGCCGGCCGTGATCAGCGAGGGTAAGTGCATCGTGTGGGCGAAGTTTATCTGCGGGATTGTGAGAATGGAGCCTCTCGGAGTGGTAGGCGTTGTGCTGTGTTCTTTCTCTCACCTCGTCAGCGCAGTGCGTGGGCCCTGGTCACCAGGGGTGACTTGACTTTTAGTGCTGCTGCGCCGAGGCCTCTCAGTAGTCACCACTGCCACCCTACAACCTGCTTCTCTTCCAATACTAGCTCTTTACAGCTTCTCCTTCTCCCTCTTCCTTGTCTTCCTCTTGGAATGGACCTTCATTGAATATACCATATAATACTGCTGCTCGTTTTCTCCCTCTTCCGTCTCATCCTCTTGTCTTGTCTCTCACTCATGCTTCTGTCCCTCTTCCTTCTCACGCTCTTGTCTCTCTCCCTTTCTTGCTTCTCCCCTCAGAACCCCTGCCAGCCCGGGACCCCTGTGCAACAATTACGTGTCCAGCAAATGGGTTTTGCCTGGTGAAGAACGGTACAGGGAGCTGCAAGTGTAGCCCTGGCTACGTCAAGAAGAACAATCTCTGTACTGGTAAGGGAGCGGGCAGGCAATGCTCAGCTATAAGTGCAGTTCTCTTACTTTGCTCCTGCGGCATTTCATATGTTTGAGACGTGTTTGTGGCACCTCAACACTCTGCACTTTCCTCTCTCCTCCCTCTCCTGTAATCTCCCTTTTCATGTTTTGCAGCTTTGTGCAAGCCCACCTGCCCTCGCAATGCCGAGTGTGCAGTGGTGGCCGGCACGCCTATGTGTCGCTGCAAGAATGGATACGTGATGAGGAGCAACAGCTGCATCGGATTGCCCCAGATTGGATTGCCTCAGGAGCGCACAATCATTCAAACTCGCCGCATGGGGGGCTCGTCGATTCAGCAAGAATGGTGAGTTTGTGTGTCAATGTTCCCAACCGCCTGCAGATATCGGCAGGTAACCGCATGTTTTTCCACCCTGGTTCATTGCTCTTTCCCCATATGTCTTGAGCAGACATGCTTTGACCATCTGCCCATTGTGTTTTCATCCTATTCCTCTACACTTTCCCTTTTGGTGCAGAGGCAGAAGGGGCACCAGCTAAGGGCCGGATAAGGTAAAGCCGGGTAGCAACACCATATCCTTGAAATTCAGCAGGCTCATCATCAAGACTTTGCTGGGTGCTACTTTCTCAAGCAAAACACGAATGAATTACGTGGGTGCATGCCCACTGCTTTTCTAAATAAAAATGGGCTTTGCTTTGTTGGTTGTATCTCAGGCTCATCATGTCTGTATCTTAGTGTAGACAATATAGCCATTTGGGTTACTGTCTATGGGCTTGTGCTTGCGGTGTATATCGTTTTTTCTGTTCTGAACCTAAGAAACCTAGTCGGTAGTAGGCTTTCAATATGGAGAAAACCTGATTTTTTACCTTGAGTGGGACTTTTCTATTCAACATCTACCGTATCCTTCAATTTAGAGCCCCGTAGGTGTCTAAACATGGTTTCAAATAAGGTCCTGATGTAAGACCGGTTTTTGTTAGGGCCCACCGTAAGCTGTGCCCCATGTACTGCTGCCGTCGCAAGCTACCATGCCCTGCCCTGCCTCGCGCTGTCCGCTGCCCTGCCTTGCGCTAGCGCCGTGCCCTTCCCTGCCCCGCGCGCTGTTGCACTGCCCTGCCCTGCCCCATGTGCTGTCGGACTGCCCTGCCCTGCCCTGCCCCGCGGGCTGTTGCGCTGTTGGGCTGAGAAAGCCCTTAGAATCATTCAAGGCTAAGACTCGGGGTGATCATGTGATTGCGGAAGCGTTGTAATGAACTGGTTGAACCACCTTGCACTAGTGTGTGAGAGCAAGATAGATTAAAAATAGCTAAGTAATACAAGGCTTTATATAATTTAAAGACATAACTAGCAGTTGCTGTTGCTGTTGCGATTCGATACGGCTGCGACTCGGGCAACTGCTCAATAACGAGTCAATTGTCTGTCCTTGCTATCGCGCTGACTTTCGGTGAGTCAAAGGTCGCTGACCTTTGACCTTCGCTTAACCTCCTTGCTGCTACCTTTTGTCAACCTCTTTGGTTGACTCGCTGTTGCTTCACTATGATCTGCCTTGCTTACATTTTAGTGCAAACTACATGTTACCTTCACTCCCCTTCGCTTCTGGAGTGTCGTCGCTGGTGACGTGACCTTGTCCAGTCAGCAGCATGCTGTACTCGAACTTTTGCTTTCCGAGTTTCTTGGTCAAGTAATCTGCTGCCATCTCAGATGTGGGACGGTATGATAGCTCGAGTCTTCCCTTTTAGATTTCGTCCTTCACGAAGAAGCATCGCAGGGCGATGTGCTTCGTTCGATTCGCGAACCCGTTCTTGTTTGCTATGCGAATTGCTGATTGGTTGTCGCAGAAGAGGGAGAAGTTGGGCAACTGGGCCAGCTTTGCTTCTTCTAGTAGTTTGCAAAGGTACAGTCCTTCCTTGGTGGCTGAGCAGAGTGCGATGTATTTTGCTTCAGCTGAGGAGAGAGCAATTAGCTCTTGCTTGCTTCACTGCCACGATATAGGACCGATAGGCTCGAGTTGGTAGATGTATGTCAAATGTTGTAGCTTTAGTGATGTGTGTCATAGGAGGTACAACTCTCAGGGTTAGGTTTATGTATCCCAACCAACATTCTGAATGGAACACTTTCATTCTTGATATGGTATCAGCTAGGTTAGGATCCTGTGGGATCCCGTTCCTCTTGATTACCTTTGTCACGCCCGAGCCTGCCCCTTACCTTAGTGCTAGTCACGCCCGTACTATCCCTTAGCACCTCTCACGTCATCTCTCACGTGCCCTAGCGCCTGCTGCGCCGCCCGTCGTGCGTTCCGCTTGTCCCGCACATCCCGTCCTGCGCATCGCGTCCCGTTCCTACCGTGGCGCCCCCCGCTGCGCCCTGTCCGTCTGTCGCGCTCCGCGCGCCTTGCCGGTCGCGTCGTGCCCATCCCGTCCGTCCCGTCTGTTGCGTCCCGTCCTTTCCGTTCCGTCCGTCGCGTACCCCCCCCCCCCCCCCCCCCCCCCCCACCCCCCCTTGGCCCGTCCCGTCCCTCACGTCGCGCTCCCCCCTGTCCGTCCCGTCCGTCGCGCTCCCCCCAGTCCGTCCCATCCGTCACGCTCCCCCCTGTCCGTCGCGTCCGTCGCACTCCCCCCTGTCCGTCCTGTCCGTCGCGCTCCCCCTCGTTCGTCGCGCCGTGTGCGCCCAGCCCATTGCGTCGCCAGCGCCCCGCCAGCCCGTCTCGCCACGCTGCCCCAGCTCGACCCGTTAACCTGCGCCCAGCTCGTCCCACCGCGCCGCAAGACGTCCTGTCCTGCCGAGCCACGCCTTCCTGCCCGTCCCGTCTAGCCGAGCCGCGCCCGTCGCCTCGTGCTGCCTATCCTGCTTACCGCGCCCTACCGTAACATTCTATAGTGCACTAAGCTTGTTGCACTACCTCTCATACCCCTCTCAAGCTCCTTAAAGAATTTAGGGTTTCAGCTATACTGCGCTTTGACGCCGACGGTAGGCTGCTCGAGTTGTCTGGCTCCTGCGTGCGTAGCGCAACCTCGAGAGTCAGGTCCAGGTAGGCGAGTCTCTGTGGACGCACGCTTCCGGTATCCTTCCTACGCCCGACGGCCCTACGCCTTTAGGCACTGCCCCCAATGATACAACTAGCAATCATTATGCACGCGGACGTGCTGATGTAACGGCATGAAAGTCGCGTGACGTTGCGGCCTGCATTGCCCTCAACAACCTCTTCCTTAAGTTTGAGAAGACCCACTTTACTCAGATTCACACGGTTAGTGGGTTCCTGACTGTGATCAAGGCCCGCTACGCTACTCCCACCACAGTCTCTCTTGGTCGCCTGTTCCTTCTATTCCTATTTCCTGACCTCGCCTCGTTTGAGCGCACTGCTGACTTGATTACTCACCTCCGCTCGCTCAATTCTAGCTACCGCGCTGCTTGCACTAACGCACAGCTTGCACGGCTTCCTCCCCTCAACACGATTACTAATTATTTTATCGACAGTAGCCTCCCTGACTGCCTTACCTCGGTTCATGACGCGCTTCTTCTGAAGCACCCTAGTGAGCTCACTATCGGGGTCCTTGAGTCTGCGCTCAAGGACACCGAGAGCAACCTCTGCTCGGTAGCCTCCGCCTCTAGTGCTGTGACCCCTATGCTGCTTCACGGGTGCACTGTCCCTCAGCTGCCCACCTTTACTGCCTCCCTCGCCACTGCCACTACTCACGTGACCGCAGCAGCTGCTACGACATCTTCACGGTCTCGGGGTAGGAGTTGCAAGAGGGGTGGTCAGGGTGCGGTCAGAGGCGGCGGAGGCTTTGGGGGTGACGTGGTGAGCGGCGGGGGTGGGAGTGCAGGGGCTGGAGGAGCTCCTCGTGCAGCGGCCGGTGACTCCACTGCAGCGGTTGGTGGAGGTGATACCCGGGTTTGTCAGTCACCTACATGTCTGCCAGACGCAGGGGGTGGAGCAGCGGCGTGGTACCTGACTCGGCAGCAGCAGCAGCTGTAGCTACCCCCCCTTCGCAACAGCCACATCAGCAGCAGCAATTTTTGGTGAAGGGGTCAGGACCGCGTCAGCTGCAACGCGCTGTCGTCCACCCTCCCTGCACCTATCACGTTCTGACAAGTGCTCCTCGAGGCCAGCCTTGTGGTCGCAGCCAAACACCGGGTCAGTGCTTTGCTCAGCTTATTGACACGGTTCGGTTGGCCTACGGCATTGACGGCCCTGCCCCTGACTGGCTTCCCTTTGTTCAGACGTACGACCTTGCTTTGTGGGGCATGTCAGCTTCTCAATTGGTTGATCTCTTAGGAACTCCTCAGGCTATGTATGTTGTTGTTGAATCTAGTGCTTCTGACTCTGTTTACTTGAGTTTTGTTACCTTAGGTGCTAGACTTGCTGAGTTGCCTGTTGCTAGTGTAGATACTTGTGTAGACACTAGTCCAAGAGCTGCTCCGGAGGACGCTTCACTGTCTTTCACTCTGGACTACGGAGCTTCGCACTGTTTCTTCCGCGACCGCATGACACTTACCCCGCTTCCCACACCGATCTCTGTCGCACTGGTTGATCCCACTTCGGGACCAGTCACTGCTCGCTACACTACTACGCTTCCGTGCCTGGCTGTTCCCTCCAGTTCTCTGACAGGCTTTCACGTCCCCTCGTTCTTGAGGAACTTGGTGGGTGTAAGGCCGCTCGTGAGTCAGCTCGTGGGTGTGTGGATTAAGCCTTCTGGTGAGACTGCGGTTTGTGTTGACGGGGACACGTACGCGCCTCTCGCCACCTTTACCGTTGAGCCGGGCTTTGATCTCTACACACTTCACACTGGCCCCCGTATGCAGCAGCAGCAACAGCGGCTACTGCCCACGGCCCCTGTCCCTGCCCCCCGTCTGGTCAGTGCATCTCACCAGGTTGCCGCGTCCCCCCAAGTAGCTGTGTCTAGTCAGGTTCCCAGGTCTGGTCCAGTTGTTTCGTTTTGCTCCTACTGGTCGCTTGCCCACCCCACGGTTTTGTGGCACCACCAGATGGGGCACCCGTCCCTTCCTCGTTTGCGTGCTATGTCTAGTCAGCGTCTTGTCTTAGGCCTCCCGCGTGTCTTGCTGTCGCTGCCGCCTTCGCTTGCACCACTGTACGGTCCCTGCATCGAGGGTCGGCTGCGCGCCACCCCTCACTCCTCCTCCCTTCGTTCGGCCACCAAGCCTTTTGAGACGCTCCACTTGGACGTTTGGAGCCCCGCCTCTTGCCTTGGCCCAAAGCGTGAACGTTTCTTTCTGGTGGTCGTTGACGACTACTCCCGCTACACCACTGTGTTCCCCCTGGTGAAGAAGTCTGAGGTGACTTCTACGCTGATCAGGTGGTGGGTTACCAGAGAGGACACTCATGGTCGTCGTGTCACCTGTCTCCACTCCGACCACAGGGGTGAGTTTTTCTCCAGAGTTCTCGCTGGATTTTCTTGCGAACGGGACATTTGTCAGTCCTGGACGCTTCCAGAGTCCCAAGAGCAGAATGGGGTAGTTGAGCGCCGCATAGGCTTGGTCATGGAGATCGCCCGCACCTCCTTGACTCACGCTTGTGCCCCCCATTTTCTGTGACCCTACGCGGTTAGGTACGCCGCTCACCAGCTGAACCTCTGGCCACGTGTCTCTCGGCCAGAGGTTTCACCGACTCGTATTTGGACTAGGTCCCCTGGTGTTGCGTCGCGGTTTTGTGTCTAGGGTTGCTTGGCTCTTTTTCGCGACACCTCCGCGGACAAGCTCTCGCCTCGCGCCATTCCTGTCAAACATTATACATATTGTTGTGTTTGTTTAGGCTACAGTGGGTTGGCCTATAGGGGGTACACAATTCTAGGGTTAGGTACTTGTACTGCTTTCACTGCTAGTTCATCCATTCATGTTCCATTATTCCAACAAGGTATAGAGCAGGTCCTTCCTATGACCGAAATTTTTTTGAAAGGGTCCACCACTACCTACCTACCTACCTGCGCCCTAAGGCGCCTCGGTTTTTCACGGCCACCTAAGGCCCCGACAGCCCGCCCCTAGAGGCCCCGAACGGCCCACGCGCTCGCCCTAAGCGCCCCCCCCCTTTCGGCCCCGCGATCGCCCCTAGAGGCCCCGTCGGCCGCGCGCTTACCTCCCTAGAGGCCCATAACGGGCCCGTCAGCCCCGCGCTCACCTCCCTAGAGGTCCCCCACGGCCCCGTCGGCCCCGTGCTCACCTCCCTAGAGGCCCCCTTGACGTCCCCGTGCTTACCTCCATAGCGGCCCCGAACGGCCCCGTCGGCCCCGTTAAGGCCCCGCGCTTACCTCCCTAGTGGCTCCGAACGGCCTCGTCGGCCCCTAGAGGCCCTGTTAAGGCCCCGAACGGCCCCGCGCTCACCTCCGTAAGGCCCCAAACGGCCCCGTCGGCCCCGCGCCCACCGTCCCTAGAGGCCCCGAGCGGCCCGTTACCGCCACAGCCTGGGACCAAACCGAGCCGCGCGACCGAATCGAGCCGCACGACCGAACCGAGCCGCGCGACCCGAGCCTAGCCGTGTGACCCGAGCCGAGCCGCGCGAACCTAGCCGAGCCGCGCGACCCGACCTGAACCGAGCCGCCCCACCCAAGCCGCGCCGCCCTGCCCAAACCGAGCCGCGCCGCCCTGCCCAAACCGAGCCGCCCTAACTGCTTCTACTTCTACTGGTCCTATGGCTAGCCCACGGGTTCTCGTTTTCGATGATGAGGGCCGCCCAGTGAAGTTTGACACGTGGCTAGATGACCTGCACCTCTACCTATAGCTCACAGCCGAGGACGACATCTCACTGTACGACCACGCCCTAGGCCATGTCACTGCCCCTGCTGCTACTGCTGACAGCACTGCTCGCTCACAGTGGCAAACTCGTGATGCCTACGCTCGCTTTGCTATTTGCAACTCCCTGCCGATAGACGAACGCGAGCACTTTGGCCAGCACAAGACTGCACAGGCACTGTACATAGCTATCGTTGCTCGCTACTCCTCACCTGCCTCTGCCGCGCTAGGCCGTCTCTCCCTCCCCTACCTGTTTCCCGACCTGACCTCGTTCCACACAGTCACTTACCTCATCATGCACCTCCGTACCAGTGAGGCCCGCTTTCGGTGCCGCCATGCCCGCTGAGTTCCTTGCCACGCACCCCCCCCCGCTATGGCTCACTCTCTACCACCTAGTCACCCGCCTCCCTGACACACTGCGTGCTGTCAGGGACCACTTCCTAGCTCGCTGCCCGACTGAGCTCACCATTGCCCTCCTCGAGAAGGAACTCCTTGCAGCTAAGACTAGCATAGTTGCTGTAGGTGCCTCTCGTGGCGACCCCCGTACCCTGTATTTTGAGGGGTGTTCTCCTTCCCCCCTTCATCACTTTGTCGCCTCTGCTGCTGTCAACCTTCTTGGTGCTGAGAAGGTCGGTACTGCGTCTTCTTCGAGCGGGCGCCGCAGCAGCAAGGGCAAAGTGGGCAAGGGTGGTGGCGGTGACGGCGGGGGAGGTGGTGGTGGGGGCGGTGGAGGCGGTGGGAGTGGTGGCGGGACAGGAGGGGCTAGTGGCAGCGGTGGGGATGGTGGTGGCAGCGGCGGGGGAGGTGGCAGGGGCGGAGGCGGTGGTTGGGGGGGCGATGGACGAGGCGGCGGCAGGGGTTGGGGTGGTCGAGGAGGTGGCGGCGGCGGTGGTGGTCGTGGAGGCGCTGGCATTGGCCAGGGCCAGCAGCACACTCCGTCGCCCCAGGAGGTCCGTGAGTGGTACTCTCTGCACGGGGGGGGGGGGGGGGGGGGGGGGTGGCCTTAGCTGCACGTACGTCATTTGCACTGGTGGCCGCACTGGTCAGCAGTGTGGACGACCGCACGCCACACAGCGCTGCTTCGCTCGTCTCGATGACGCTTGGCGTGTTCAGTTCCCTCAGGCCACTGAGCTGCCCCGCTGGATTGATCTCCTGAAGAAGGGGATCGACATCTATGCTCTAGACTTTGATGCTATTCTATCTGCTATGTATGTGATGTCTACTAGTGGAGAGGTTGCTGAGTACCTGTGTGTGCCGCCCGACCCGGGCATTAGAACTAGTGCGTCTGCTGCTCCTGGTACTCGTGTGTCGGCTACCCCAGGTGCTGGTGAGGCTGCTGCTCTAGGTGCTTGTGCGTCTGCCTCCCTTGGGACTTAGTCGACTGCAGCACTGCACACCTTCACACTGGACTCAGGTGCTTCTCGCTATTTCTTTCGTGGCCGCACTGCCCTTGAGCCGCTTGCTCGGCCAGTTGCTGTCTCCCTTGCTGACCCCTCTGGGGGTCCGGTCATTACGACCTCTTCCACTGTCCTTCCCTATCCTGCGGTCCTGTCGAGCACACTGTCAGGTCTCCACCTCCCCTCGTTTGCTACAAACTTGGTGGCAGGATGTGCGCTCCAGGACCGGGGTGTTCACCAGTTCACCCCTGCCTACGAGCGCGTGACACACTGTATGTGTGCTCGTACGGGCCGTCACTTGGCTACCTTCACTCGGCAGCCGGGGTCGGACTTGTACACACTGACTACTGAGTCCCCTCAGGTTGCTGTGTCTGCGTCTGTGTCTGCGTCAGGTCAGCTGTCAGCTCCCTGCTCGTGTCGCTCTCTGGCACACGAGACTGTCCTCTGGCACCCCCGCCTTGGCCACCCGTCTGTGCAGCGGCTTCATGCCATGCACTCCCGGTACCTTGTCTCTGGCCTGCCCAGGGTCCTTCCTCCCCTCCCACCCTCACCTGCTCCTACCTGTCTCCCCTGTGTCGAGGGACAGCAGCGCGCCGCTCCTCACTCGTCGTTTCCCCCGACGACTTCTCCCTTGCAGACGCTCCACATGGTCGTGTGGGGCCCAGCCCGCGTCCGTGGTCAGGGTCAGGAGAGGTACTTCCTGATAGTTGTTGACGACTACTCACGCTACACCTCGGTCTTCCCCTTGCGCACCAAGGGTGAGGTCCCTCATGTCTTGATCCCTTGGATCCGCAGAGCCCGTCTCCAGCTCAGCAAGCGTTTCCACTCGGACTTTCCTGTCCCGCACTTGCACTCTGACAGAGGTGGCGAGTTCTCCTCCGACCTCTTGGCAGCCTACTGTGCTGAGCACGGCATTGAGCAGTCGTTCACGCTTCCGACCTCTCCACAGCAGAATGGGGTTGCGGAGCGCCGCATTGGCCTGGTCATGGAGGTCGCCCGTACCTCCTTGATCGATGCGGCTACCCCCTACTTTCTGTGGCGGTTTGCGGTCGGGTATGCTGCGCATCAGCTCAACCTCTGGCCCAGTGTCTCCTTGCCGGAGACCTCGCCCACGCTTCTGTGGACGGGGGAGGTTGGCGATGCGTCGCGTTTCCGAGTCTGGGGTTCTCGAGCTTTTGTCCGCGATACGTCTGCGGACAAGCTCTCCTCTCGTACTGTTCCCTGCGTCTTCCTCGGCTTTGTCCTCGATGCGTCTGGTTGGTAGTTTTACCACGCCAACTCGCGCCGAGTCTTGCCCTCTCAGGACGTCACTTTTGACGAGTCCGTCCCCTACTACCGCATCTTCCCCTACCGCACCGCCCAGCTCCCCCCCCCCGCCTCTCTTCCTCGCGCCAGGTGCTGTTGTTGTAGACCCCTTCCCCCTTAAGGGTGCCGCTCCCTCAGGTGTGTCTAAGGTAGACCCGGTTGAGCCTGTTGAGGTAGCTGTCGACTCTCGTCCTGCTGGGGGTTTTGAGCCTGGGGGTGCCGGGACTGGGGGTGCTGAGCCTGGGGGTGCTGAGCCTGGGGGTGCCGGGACTGGGGGTGCTGAGCCTGGGGGTGCAGAGCCTAGGGGTGCGGAGCCTGGGGGTGCGGAGCGTGGGGGTACTGAGCCTGGGGTTGTGGAGCCTCGGGGTGCGGAGCCTGGGGGTGCTGAGCTTCCGGATTTTGAGCAGCAGAGTCCGGTGTCTAGGGGTTCTGAGTCTGAAGGTACTGATCTTGGGAGTCCTTCTTGTGGGGGAGCCCTCTCCTCGGAGCAGCTGCGTGAGTGGTACTTACAGTACTGCAGCCTCAGGAGAGGCACCTCTGGAGCCCGGCGTGCTACTGGGACTGGTGCTAGTACTTCTCCTCCTAGTCGGGAGCTCCCCTCCCATGAGCAGAAAAGTGAGTGGTACGAGCGGCGCTGCACTCTTCGGAGTGGCGCGCCTCGTGTCGCGGACCCCGCTGCCGTTGGAGGTGCTCCTGGTGCTGCGGCCTCAGGTGTTGGAGCTGCTACTGGTACTGCGGACCCAGGCATTGGAGCTGCTACTGGTGCTGAGGACCCAGGTGTTGGAGGTGCTGCTGGTGCTGAGGACCCGGGTGTTCGAGCTGCTGCTGGAGATGCGAACCCGGGCGTTGAAGCTACTGCTGGTGCTACGGACCCGGGAGTTGGAGCTGCTGCTGGTGCTGAGGACCCGCATGTTGGAGCTGCTGCTGGTGCTGCGGTTCCGGGCGTTGGAGCTGCTGCAGGTGCTGGGGACCTAGACGTTGGAGCTGCTGCTGCTGCTGCTGAGGACCCTGGTGCGGGTGTCTCTGCTGGTTCTAGTGTCGCTGGACGGCCGCAACCGTACTTTTTTCCGCTCCTTCAGCTGGTTCTTGGTTCGCTCCCTCCTCCGTGTCCTCCTCCCTCCTTAGGGTGTCCTCCGTCTGCCCAGCTGCCGTCGCAGCTACCATCTGCCTCCTCTCTCCGTGGTCCTGCTCCTTAC